GGGTCTTCCAGAGCCCGGGTCTCTGTTTCGCCTGCACGTTTGAAGAAGGTCGAATTCGAAATTGACAGGTTTCCTCTTTTAGTACTTTACCGATGTTTTTTCATTATCTTCTGGCCTCCCAATGAGTATTTATTCTTAACATTATCCCCCAAGATGCAATGCATCCTTTCACCCAGCATCCCGTTAAGATCTTCTCTTTATCTTTGGTCCTCCCCAGTTTGATTACAGTTCTCCTAGATTTGGTCTTCTCTGAGCTTATCCCACTTGACTTTTATTAAGCTTCTTAGACCTTTGTTTTGATGACTTTTGTCAATCTGAGGGAAGCCCAGCCAGCAATTCTTCAAGTGTCTCCGGTGCCTTTTCTTCCTCTCTTCTCCTTGCAGGGTCTCGAGGCACACACATTGGACTGTTTGATATTGTCCTGTGCACATCTGCTTCCTATTTCGGCACCTTTATGTTCTGTGTTTCACCCCTGACCCTTCCTATGGACCTGACCTGACCTTCGCTGATTCTAGGCTGTGTCAAGTCCATCCCTGAGCTCACCGATGGAACTGTTTCTCATCTCACTGCTTTCCTTTCCAGCACTTCCACCTGGTTCTCTGCTATTGCTCCATCTCAAGTTCATTTGCGTTTTTTCACCCTGCCCACTCCATGCTTTAGCCTGTTTATCTTGATTATCCAAATGGCCCTTCTGAACAACTGAGTCACACCTGGGTGTTCTTCTGTGCCCTCTTTCCTCCCTTGACCACGTGTCCCCCGGTTTTAGACTGCACACTGGGACTATTTGCATGAAAGAGTGATAGAGAGTGGAGGAAACACTATCTGGGCCTAAACGATGGCATGCCCCTCAATCCCTCAGTCTGGGCGCAGAGTCCACGCAGCTGGCCGTGGAAGAGGGTGTGGAGGTTGTTGCTGAGCCCGCCAGCCTCAGCCATTGCTGGCTGCAGTTAGGACGAGGCCAGGAGCAGGTTGGGGCCTGAGCTCTGAGGACCGAGATGCTGTGTAGATGCTGGCGCTCTGATTTACAGACCAGTGCCGTTTTGTGGGTTCCCGCTTCAGTCCACCCTCCTGCGTGCGTCCTTCACGACAGACTTTCCCCTCACGCCGCTTTGGCTGGGGCTGTCAGAAGGCAACTGGGGCCGCTCGAAAGCCCTGGATTTCCTCGGGGTGATTTCTCCCGCTCTTTCCCCTTCCCACACCAGCCCCCCACCCCGTGGACTGTCTCACATTCTTGGGGCTCCGGCAGCCCGTCTCTGTGGGCTCGGCCGCACACGCTGGTCTCCACACATTGTCAGCAGTTCCTACAATGCAGGCTGCCTTCCTCCTGTCCCCTCTCGCTTGGGGTCCCCTCCTGCCGCTCCTGCCTGTGTGAGTGTAGCCGTGGTCTCTTGTCCCCTGGAACAAGGCCGTCCCTTTCCGAACTCCGTGCACTCAGGCTCCTTTGTAGTCTCAGCCCTCTGAGGTTTGTTTTTTCCCAAGCTCTGATTCAGTAGCTCCCCTGGATTACTCATGCTACCGTGGTGGCGTTGGGGTTGTCCCTTCACAGTCTGCAATTTAAGTCCCATGTGAACATCTTCCCCCGGTGGCTGCCCGCTGTTTCTCCAGTGTCTGCCCTCTGAGCTGCCTCCCCGGCCCTCGTTACAGCACCTGCTCCGTTCCTAACCCGCGTTTCAGCCGCCTCGCCCAGGAAGACTGTGAAGTCGTCCTAGAGGGCAGACTCACCTCCCATCTTTCTAACCCCAGCACCTAGCACAGCTTCCTGCACAGCAAAAACGCTTAAAACAACGTTTCCAAAATAAATCGGTTAATTCACGGCACTGCTGAGGGATGGATTTCCGTTCAAACCTCCTCGATAGCGCGGACCGAGCGGGGACTAGTTGTCTCTAACAATCCCGCGGGCTGAGCCGGCACCGCCGTGGTCGATGAAAGCAGGGGCTGGTCCCCACCGCTCACAGCACAGGAGGGAAATAGCACCAGTTTACTGATCAGTGGGCGCCGGGGGAAGGCACTGGGCCTCGAGCAAGTCTGTTTAGGAGGCGGGCGGGCCCTGCTCCCTCCGGCCCCGCCCTGAAGCAATCAGTGTCGGAGCCTCTGGAGGTGATGGATTCACACCGCCTCTGACTCCACACTCGACTTGGAATTACCCACTGGGAACTGGTTGCCCTGGAGAGACCACCGGTGTCCAGAACTCAAATGTCCGAGGGAAGTCTGCCACCAGCTGAGGAGGAGCAGCAGTGCAGCCGGGCCTGCTGGCAGCAGTGGCCTCGGGGGGCGGTGGTCTCGTCGGGTGACCGCTTCCTGCCCTTCACTCCAGCACGGGACCCGGCGAAGAGCAAGTTCTAGGCTCCCACGCGTGCTGGTGCAGAGAAGCACCCATCTTGACACGGCAGGAAACCCCTGAGCCAAACTGCCACCAAGTGCTCGTGTTCTGAACGACCTGTGACCACCGTGACGGACTACGCACAGAACTCGTTGTCCACGCCGGGCGTCTGTGAGAGGGAAAAGGTGACGTGCCAGGAACTGTGAGGGGCGACAGGTGTGAACCGCACTGTCCCGGCTGACCCACTGTGAGCACCAGGCGTCACAGAGGCCAGAGCCGGGACAAGGTGGCAGGAGGCTGCCGAAGGGACGCGTGACAACCCCAGCGCCAGCCTTCCCACTGCCTGTCCTGACAGGAAGCCCAGGTCGGGCGTGAGCAGGGTGGAAGCTCTTCCTCCCCCACATGCCCCAGTGACTGGGGTGGCCTCGGGGCCAGTGGACGCACCCACCAGCTCAGCCCCCCAACCCCACTGTAAGGTCCCAAAGGGCTGAACGTCCCCTGCAAAGACACCAGGCACACGTTTGCCGCAGCAGGGAAGGCCCCCAGTGCCGGAATCATGATGCATCTGGGTCATGGCTGGGCAGGCCCTGCTGTGAGGAGGAGACAAACTCACACGCCCCCCACCCCTTCTAGTAAGCACTGGGCTGCTGTGGCCCCAGCAGAATTATCCAGCGGCCTGAGGTTTTGGTCGTAAGAAGCAGCATGTCTGTCTGTCTGTCTCCCAGGGAGCTGCTTGTGGCTGCCCACTGCTGTGACCCACAGCACGCCCCCCCAGCTCCTGCTGACCCCCGGCTGCCCTGGCCCCTGCTGTGCATGGCCCCACAGTGCACCCCTAGGGTCAGGGGCAAGCGGCAGTGGAAAGGGCAAAACTCCAGGGGCCCCACTTAGTAGCCCCTCCATGAACTCCATGCCACTCCTTGTCCGGGCAGCGACTTCCAGACCAAACTGGACTTTTTCGTCCTAGTACGAGGACAAGGCTCATAAACAACCCAACCTGAAAGAGGAACGTGACGCGACAGTGGCTTCGGCTGCCCCGTCCCTGTTTCTGGAGACAAGGACGGGCCCCGGGCAGAGGCTCTTTGTGCCCGAGTCACGGTCGTGGTCGGAAACATGCCACCCGGCTCCGCAGAGAAATCCCAACTCGTTTCCTTGCCCTCCGACTTCTGCGTCTGTGGAGCTTCAGCGACTCTCTCCCGGCTCCCTCCTCTGTCACTAGACCTGTCTCCGGACCACACACAGGTTTGTCTTTATTGATTGTCCGTGCCCAATGCCCGGGGACACGATGCGGCGGCTCCGTGGCGGAAGAACCGCCACAGCAGCAGCCGAGAGCGAGCAGGAAGCCTCGTACCCCCTTGATGGAGACACGCCGGGGGGTGAAGGGGAGGACAGAGAACGATTTCGTATTTGAATGCACTTAGATTGCCAGTATTCGAGAGGCCTGGGAGGAGGTTGGTTTTCCGCTGTGCGGTGGCGTGAACAGATGAAACCTGCACTACGCGGCGTTACGGCCGGAGGGCGGCCCGGGCGGCTGCGGCAGAGGCGCACGGTACATGGATTAATCTGTTCCGCGAGCACGCCTGCTCTCCTCCGATCCCCTTGGTAGAGTCTCAACCTCCACGAACAGTCCAGCAGGTGGTTTCCATACCCTGACCTAGTTCTCATTTTGTGTTTAAAAGACGGCCCATCAATAATAATGATGATGACAACGACTATCGATTGGCCCACTGGCTGCGAGCTTTCCTGTGTCTTCTTGCTTGACCCTGAGAAGCTCTTGGTAACCGTCATTGCCCTGTTTTACAGTGGGGACGCTGCAGGACAGAGGGGCCAAGAACCTCCCCACCCAGAGTGTCCGGCCTCTTCCAGCACTCTCCCCATCGCCGACCCCCCAGGATAAGCTCACCTTTCACCCCACAGCACCTCGCTGGGCGTCTGGCACACAGAAAGGGCTCAGGCCACACTAGGGATGGGCATCAGAACCAGTGTTCAGTGGCCCAGCTCCATGAGACTCCAGGCCTTGCTAGAAGCTTGCTGACTGACAGTTCACGTGACAGGCTCTGGGACACAGTGTTTGCTCTGGGCAACAATCCAGGTGACAGGGACCTGAGCAATGCGAGGGGCAGGACCCTCCCTAGTCTCCTGGCTGCCTCCTGCCAGGGCCCAGAGCCCTGGGCCTGCACCTCTGTGAGGACGAAGGCCCCACCCCTCCATCCGGTGGGTTCTGAAAACCGGGCTCAACCCACGACTCCCCGATGCTGCAGGGAACCGTGTGGCCACTGCCCCTCTTCTGGGGCAGACACAGATACACAGGTGCTGATGCTGGCCACGGTCCCACACCCAGGGCCAGTGTGGGGAGTCTTCATGGGCCTCCTGGTCCCCACATCATGTTGCAGACCTCGAGAGGATCTGCTCCGAGGGCAGCAGGGAACTCGGAGGGGCTCAGCATCGAGGGCGGCTGGGCAGCCACTGCTGGACTTGGGGCGTCACCCCACAAGGACTGAGGGACACTTCCCTGCATGCACCCCTACCCCATCACCGTTCTGCTCACCAGCCTGGATGGCGCACAGGAGAAAAACCTACAGATGCTGCTGAAGATTTAGGAAACATCCCCGTGGGTGCCCCCCAGAGACGCCCCGGGAGGTGACACACAAACCCGGGTCACAGAGTGAGCTGCGAAGGTCACCTGAGCTGGCCGTCCATCCTGCTGCATCCTGGGGAGCTCATCCGGGGCGGTGGCCTGGGACAGGACCTCCAGGTACGGCAAGTAGCGCTCAAGGGCCTTGGCCAGCGCGAGGCTGCCCTCCGGACGGTGCCTTCTTTCGTCCTCGGCGCTGGGCTGTAAGCTCCTGAAAAGCAAAAGAGCACATGAACCAGCCCCACGCGTGCCGGGGGTCGGTCAGCCACCTGGCCTCTGCCGTACGCCGTCGCTGGACTGCGAGACAGGCCCACGGGGCAGATTCACGGCCCTGCCTGGACCAGGCGTGTGGCCAGCAGCTCTTCCTGGCCAGGGTCCGAGTCTCTCGAGTAACCCCCATCTCTGTAAGTGGCAGCCCCATTCCGTCAATAGGCTGCTAAGCCACAGAACTACAGATTCACGATGAACCCACCTGCCTGGTGCCCACTGGCATCTTTGGAAAAAGGAAACAGACTCACTGCTAGAAACGCCAACTCTGTGCTAGTTCCCTCGTCAGCTCCCACGCCTTAGCTCGAGGATGCCCCTCCCTGCCATGACCCTCAGCCCGAGGATTGTGCCATTTGCTGTGGATCGGGCCCTCCTGGTTTATCTTCTTTCAGCATTCGTGACTAGCTGAAATCACCTTCTCTATGCAAACACGTGCTTTTTCGTGCTGGACACCCCTTCCCTAGCATGCAGGCTGCCAGAGAGAAGGGATCCCAGTTTTCTGCATTTTCCCTGTTTGCAGCTTCCACCCCAGAATTTACAACAGAGCCTGACACACTGTAGATACTGAAAAAAAAAATGTGCGTTGACTGAATAAATGAACTTAACTCATCCAAGAAATTCTGGGTTCATATGGAGTTAGTTCAAAACACTAGCACTTCCCTTTGGTAACTTGTCAAATGACACTTTTTCCAGCACTAGGAAACATCTCTGGGAAATCTAAAAATTGCTGAAAGTGACTTTAGGATAACAGACTGATTATTGTAATGAAATGAGAGTGATGTGAAGTGTGGACTTGTTTGAAAGAAAAAGCTTTACTTCTGTTTTTAAGGAAATGAAATGTTCACATCGTATGAAAGTGTAGCAGCCTCTGTCCTCTCCAACAGCCACAACATGGTGCAGCAGGGAGGGGACACGCTTCTTCCTCTGTCACCTCCCTGTCACCTCCCCTGGGCGCTCCACACAGTGGGCACGAAAGCCTGCAGCCGAGTTCCGATATCGAATAATTATGAGTAATTGCCCCAACGCTCACACAGCCAGGCGTGTGGGGGTTTGCGTCCTAAATGTGCTCAGCCTTCGTGTAAGCAAATCCTGGGTTTGAAACTTGTACTTCCGTGTCACCTCCCAGAAGCGCTCCTGGTGTCGAACCAGAATGTCCCGACAGCCAGGAGGAGCTCTGCCCTGGGAAGTCAGTTTGGGGCTCGGGAGAAGTGGGCGCAGGGGCAGGACCAGGGATCGTCTGACATTTTCTTCATCTCTCCCCCTCCCTTCTCTGCAGGTTGGTACCTGGAAGGAGTTGGCTTTTGAGTAACAATTTGATTTTCACTTTTATTTACAAGAATAGCCAATACGACAAAGTTCAGTGGTGATCTCAGAGATGGAAGTCCTTCAGCTGCCCAGCACAGGGGTGGCCTTGGGAGATGTGTGAATGCAGGAAACAGGGCACAGTCTTTGGGGGGCTGCGGCAGCCTGGCCTCCCGGGAAGGTGTGGGGCTCCCCACCCGTGTCCTGTGCCGTCTGGGACCTCCAAGCTGTCCCGGGTCTGTCGGGCTGATGCCTACTCACCGCAGCAGTCGGCAGGGTCTGTCCAGGGAGAGCCCTGTGGGCACTCAGCCGGGGGAGGGGTCGCCCCTGAAGATGCACGTCCGCCCGAGCTCCCGGGAGGGGTCAGGCCCCTGAGGCCTTGTTACAGCCACATGGAGTCCCTGCACCTCCTCCCGAGGCTGCCCCACCCCTCACGCCCCACTGCATGTCCTCCCAAGACAAAGTGTCCTGTAAACTTCCTGCAGCAGCTCCAGAGCCACCACGTCTGTCTCCCAAGAACCCAGCTGAGACGAAGCCCCCTGGGCACCAGTGGCCAGAATCTAGAGCCCTGCCACCTGGGAGTCATCTGTCCAGACGCCCCAGGCAGCCTCAGAAGTAGGCGCCCCACCCATTGTACAGCAAGGAGGCGGGGGTGGGACACTGCGCTGCCAGGGCTGGGTGTCCCCGAAGCTGGGCTTGCTTCTGGGCTGGAGTCTGGATTCCGGGGCACGCCGCAGCCCGGCCCACACACACCTGCCCGGGGGGCAGGGCCTGGGGTCGCAGGCCAGGCAGAAAGCACCTGCAGTTCCACCCATGTGCCCTCTGCTCACCACTGGCCTCTCCAGGTCAGGGACCACGGCCTTTCCCACGGCCGATCGGATGCAGCATCTCAGCCCAGCAGTGAGCTCAGGGCTTTACTGTAGAGATGCTCTTCTTTCTCGTGAATGAGGAATTGGGCAGCAGCCACCTGGCGATGCCCCGCGCTCGTGCATCTCTGTGTGCCTGTGTGTGCACCTGTCCATGTGTACACGTGGGCCTGCATGCGTGTATGCATTGGTGTGTGTGTGTGTCTAAGTGCATATGTGTGCTTTGCATGTGCTCAGTGATGCTGGTAGGGCCAGAGCACTGCCCATTTGCTGATAACCACGCCCATGTTCAGTGACCAGGAAACAACGTTCTAAGTATTTTACATCCAAACTCGATGGTTAATTGCTCACATGTGGGCTTCACTGTGGCGCTGACACATGTCAGGAGCATGCATGGGTTTCGGGCTGATGTGTCTTGTCAGAAATGGAGAATGGCTCCTGGCTGGTGTTCTCGTCATGCAGAAAGCCTGGTCCCCTGAAACAGGCCGCCAACGTCAGGCGTGCGGTCTGGGTGGTCTTCATGGAGGGGCTCACGATGCGTCTTCCCACTGTGCTCGAGGGTCGAGCCTGACAGAGCCGCACTGTCCCTATTCCCAACGCCTCTTCCGGCCACGTCTGCTCACTCTCGGCAGACATGCGGCTCACAGCCGTGTCAATCCGGTGCGTCTCGAGCCCCGGCTGTCGTTTCCCCGACCATTTCCAACAGATGAAATTTCACGTCCTGCGTCATGTAACTGAGGTCAGTTCACTTTCCTGGTACTTTGTCCATTTTTCTCAGTAATTGCTCATCAGTGCGGATGGAAACACCCATCTCCCTGCCTTTAAATCACCGTATTCGTCTTCCCGTGCCCACGTGGCTGCAGTGCACGCCCACCAGTGCGCTGAGCAGCGTCGCAGCAATTACCCTGCGGGTCGGCGCGAAGCAGGCCACAACTTTGTAAGTGTACACCTTCTACTTCAAAAAGAGTCAGGTCCCTTCCCCACGTGTGCACACCAGCCTTCAGGCTCCAGAGAACATGAGGTGCTTTCCAGGGGTGTCCAACCTGTAGCCCACAGGCTGCATGCAGCCCAGGATGGCTGTGAATGCGGCCCAACACAAAATTGTAAATTTGCTTAAAACATGTTGAGATTTTTTTGTGATTACGTGTCACAATGTATTTAATGTGAGGCCCAAGACAACTCTTCTCCTTCCAGTGTGGCCCAGAGACACCAAAAGGTTGGACACCCCTGATACTCTGTCATCCCACTTGCTGGGGAAAGAAAAGCCCAAATTATAAACAAAAGTCTTGGCAAAGCAGATGTAGTGAGCCTGTTCTCATCCCTTTCCTCAGTCCTAACCTCACGTGCTAAACATTCAGGCCATTATTTGTCACACAAAACCTCATGATCACCCTGAACCCGTGCCTCCAGTCCCCGCCCTCTGTGATGTCACTGGCTCACCACGTCCGGCTGCCTCCGGGTCCTCTCATCCAGCTCTCAGGAGCAAAGGGCCCCTCGGGCTATGAACCTCGGCTTCCCCTCAGCTCCGGGCTCTGCTCCCTCCGTTCAGCACCCAGCTCAGTGCTTCACTGGGTTTCCATGCAGCGCCTCCGCTGGCCCGGCTCTATGTCCCTGAGCTCCTGTCCTTGGCCTTTGGGAGCCACTCAGCCCCTCCCTGCTCTTGGTGGAGCTCAAGGCTGCTAGACGGTGCCCCACACTTGGGTGAATGTTCACGGAGGAGGCAGAAGTGGCCGGTGCTCAAACACCCAAGTGCCATTTAAAGACCAGTGTTAAGAGTTCAAACTCACTCAAGACAGACTGACTTTGGTTCTGGTTTGCGGTTTGAGCAGGGAAGGCTTGCACCCACACACAGACGACAGTGGCCGGTGGCCATCGATAAGGGAGGTGCACTGGGCACAAGGAGCACAGACACAGAGTCCCTGCCCTCAGAAGTTCGGTCTGGCCAGCGCTCGAGCTGGTGTGGTGAGCACGCATGTAGTGTGTGCACGGTCCTCGCGTGTTTCCACGCACCCCACCCTGCAGGTCTTGGGAGTGAACATCCCGAGGGCTCAGGTTACTTCCTGTTGGACAACACAAGCATCAGTTTTCTGTTACTGAGACTTTCCTAACCAAAGGCTATGGATTTGCAATAGTGTCTCAGGGAAAAAAGTAAATTTTCCAAACCCAGTCTCTAGGGAAGGTCCTTCTCACTTTCCATAAACAGGGAGAGCACAGCACAGTGGCCCAGCGCTGAGACAGCCCCCGCTGTCCACCGGGGTTCGTGTCTGGGCTCAGTTTCGACCTCCCTGTGGCTCAATTTCCTCCCCTGTAAGACGGGGTGACACCTCACTGCTCGCCCCGCGGTGAGCAGTGGGGGTGAGATGAGATGGTGTGGAATAGATATTCGGCCTAGTATAGGCTGCTGTGTTTGGAGAACGGGAAGAGTTTCATGATTAAATTCTGCTCTGTGTACTAAAATGAATGTAAGTTCTCACTGGGAAATGAGAATTCTTGACTTCTCCGCTCTCCACCAAGGTTCTGGAGATGCAGGACTCTTTCAAGGGGTGTGGGGAGGGGCGGGGGCAGGGCCTGTGAGCTAGGTAGGACGCAGTGGAGAAAGGAAGTGCCCCTCTTCCTCCTGGACACCCCGGCTTTCTGGAACCACTATTTCAGGACGAGAGTGGGTGCTTTGTGCCAGGACCCGGGAACCAAGCCGACTCACCTGGCAGGGTGGGCAGCCCCGGGGCGCCGCAGGTGGGCTCTGGGGAGGTGGGCCAGCTCCTGGGCCAGCACGTGCTGGGTGTGGTCATCCTGCCAGGTGAAACCTGTGGGGAGGTGGCGAAAACCACACGTCAACTGAGAAGCTGAGCCAAAGCTCCCACTCCAAGTCACAGCCACCCCTCCCCCCAGCACAGTCGACCAGCCCGGCTGCTGTCCCTGCACTTTACAGACGAGCCCCCTTCCTTCCTTCCACAGGGTCCAGCTCTCAGAAAGTCCAGGCTGGAGACATGGGGAAACCAGGCCTGGCGTCCCAGGCAGGACAGAGGCTCTGCCCAACGCGAGACACAGACCTTTCTCCGCAGGGAGTTGTGGCCAGCGTGCCCAGATGCCCGCTCGCTGCCCCTGGGTGATGCGCGCTCCCCAGCCCCACCTTGCTCGGAGCCCCGAGCCGTGAACAAAATAAGGGGTATTGTTACTGTGAAAGCAATTACCATGGGGCTTAATGTACTGTGTCTGGGAGCCAATTACATTATATTTATACTCAAATGTTATGACAAAGAGCCTTATTTATAACAAGGGCGAAGTGGTTATGAAGGCGAAATCCATGTGATTATGCATTAATTACACGCACTGCAGATCACATGATAATTATGCTCAGAATTACCAAATAACTCCCCAGAATAATTATTAAGCAATTTGTACATTTTAGATCTTATGGTAACACTTTAGCACTTCGAACTACCCCATGCAATTATCCATAATTATCTAATCACTAAATATCATGTAATTACAGAGATATATTTTTGTGCCCCGTACAAAAACACATCAAAATCTTTGCGCCGGGACGGCTCTGCGCTTGCATGCGTGTGCAAGGGGTTCCCGACTTCTGGGGACCTCGCGCGCCGGGCCGGACAGGAACGATGGCTCAGGAGACGTCAGCTCCTCCAGGAACACACTGGAACACTTGTTTCAAATGCAAACCTAACATTTTTAAAAAATTTACAAATGGCAAGATTCAAACAGTTGGCACAGTTCTAACCCTTAGAGGGCTTGCTGGCATTACCTACCGCAGATGCTGTTGGGAAAATTTACCCCATCAGCCGGCCTCCTATGGCAGCCTGTTCTGAGTGCTCTGCTTGGAACCTGATGTTTAGAGAAAAGGCTACTGCAGGGGGACCCAGCCTCATGGTCATTGCTATCCTTACTTCAGGATTAAACGTTAGAAATAATGAGCAAGTCTGTCCATTTGCTAAAAGCAACTACAAATCACCCCCTAGAAAACATCTGTTTTTTTAAAGATTTCATTTATTTATTTTTAGAGAGGGAAGGGAGGGAGAAAGAGAGAGAGAGAGAAACATCCATGTGCGGTTGCTGGGGGCCGTGGCCCGCAACCCAGGCACGTGCCCTGACTGGGAATCGAACCTGCGATGCTTTGGTTTGCAGCCCGCGCTCAATCCACTGAGCTACACCAGCCAGGGCAAAATGTCTGTTTTGTGGCCATGGTTGGTCCATGCCGAAGACCAAGCTCACCCACCGGAAAGCACACGGGCAATATTCGCATAACCTCGAGCACTTCGCATTTAGGAGTGAGCAGTTGTGAACACTCCCAAAGGGTGGCCTGAATGTTACTCTCTATTTGGAAACAGAAAAAGAAAATCAAGAACCAAACAAAACTTCCCATGAAAAAATTAAACAACAGAATTTCAATAGTTTTTTTATCTAAGGTGCACAGAGGTCTGAGGCATGTCAGGAGCCTGGGGCTGTGAGGAGGGCTCGGTCCTTCCGGAACCCCAGCTGGTCTGTGTGGGTGATGTGAGAGGACTTGAACCCTGGCCCCTCGGTTTTCCTGGGAGAGGCAGGGGCTGGGCCCTTGGCGTGAACACGGGAAATACGTAGATCCAGGTCTCAGACAGTCTCCACGCACTTGTCTCCAAGATACATTAGAGGAGATAAACCCTGGGAAGACGGGACCCACTTCCAGAAATTTGTAGAAGACAGATGTTTTCCTGTTCCTCCTGCTAAGTACAATAAAGACCCTGGAAAGAATACTAGTGGAGACTGTGAAGGCGGGAGAGGAGAAGGCAGAGCAGGCAGGACCTTGGACCCACAGGAGGAAACGGACTGCGTTTTCTGGACTCAGCGCTGAATCGGCCAGCAACCCTGGCGCACCAGCGGGTGCAGGTGCCTCCCCCTTTCCAGTCAGAGGGCCAGGGAAGAGCCACGGAGCACATTTCACTTGATGGAGCTCTACTCCCACCCTGGACACCCTGGGAAAGCACAGACCCAGCCACGCAGGCCTAGGGGGGCCAAGAGGAGCATCTGGGTGTCCTTCCTTATAGGGCTGTAAGTGGTCCCTGAGCACTTAGGACCCTGCCAGTGTCCTGACTGCCATCCCTGCTGGGTGGTAGCTGCCTACCCCCACCACTGTGTTGGTGCAGGGCACGCAGGGCCTTGAACCCATGCAGCCTCTGCCCAGCAGAAAGGACAGGAGTCTGCCCCTCCAGTATCAGGAGAGGTCTACTGGGGGACCCAAATGTCTGCCCCCACTGGTCAGGAACAGAGAGGCATCCCCACCCCAGCAGAGGGGTGCCAGGAAAAGCCAGTTAAAACAGAAGGTTTAACTGAGACCCAGAGTCTCATGATATAACACAGAAATGCCCAGGTTTCAACAGAAAATCACTTGTCATACCCAGACCCAGAGAGATCTCAAACTGAATGAAAAAAGACAACCGGGAGCCACCAACAGCCGGGGCACGGGGACGTCAGCACCGCCTGACAGACTGGACTGCAGTCCTGACAGAGCCCTTCAGTGAACAAGTACAAACTTGTCTGAAACACAGGAAACAGGAAGTCTCGGTAAAGAAATATGCATGCACAGAGCCCAATGCGAGTATTATAACGAGAAATGAACAGCTGAGTGGAGCACAGCACGCAAGGATGGAGGGGTGGAGAGAAGGATCCGTGAGCTGGAACAGAGAGCAACAGAAGGTACCCAGTTTCAGCAAAGGGAAAAAATTGTCTAAAAAAAAAAGACAAATGGTGGGGCTACAGCCAAAGATCCAGCACTGAAGTCGTCTGAGCCCCAGAGCAGAGGAGGGAGAGGGCAGGGGAGAAGAGGTGCTCAAACAATGTAAAGGTGAACCCTCTCAATTTTGTCAAGAGATTGAAACCTAAAGATTCCATAAGCTGAACACCCCAAAGAGGATAAATCCAAATCTCCTCCAAGATACGTGCTAATTAAACTTCTGGGAACTAAACGCAAAGCATCTCGAAACAACGGCACCTCACATATGCAGGAAGCGTTTCCAGGGACAGAGGCTTGTGCGTCAGAACCACAGCGGCCACAAGAAAACGCACGACAGACACTCCCGGTGCTGAAAGAAAAGTGCCGTCAACACAGAATCCTGAAAACCCACCAACCCTGACACCCCCGGGAAAACAGCTTTAAGGGATGACAGCAAATCAAGACAGCCTCAGACAAAGGGGAAAAACGGGAGCTTTTTTTTTTTTTACCAGCAGACCTGCCCTGAAAGAATCATTCAAGGAACTTCTCCAGACACACAGGCGATGATAAAAGCAGGAAGGAAGGAGGATCGCGGAAGATAAAGGTCTGGGTAAATATAATACGCTTTTTTCTCTTGAGTTTTCTAAGTTTTGTTGGACAGTTGAAGCAAACGTGATAATACTGTCTGATGTGCTCCTAAACATACGTCGGGGAAATATTTAACAGGATCGAGATAAATAATGGGGCAGTGTCACAGAGGGAGGCAGGTGTCCCCCCGCCTCCCCGACGGTGAGCGGCCGCAGGTGTGTGTGAGGGAGCGTCCAGGTGAAGCACTGAGCCGGCTGGCAAGAGAGCCACTCAGAAAACTGTGTGCACACCAAAATGGATTGCTAAAATATCCAGTGACCTAAAGGAACGCAGGGAGAAAACAGAAAAAAATAGAGAACAAAAAATAAAATGTGAAATTTAAGCCTTAAGATAGCAAAGATTACCCTAAATGTAAATGGGCTAAATACACCGAGGAAGACAGAAGGGATGGGAAATGCACAACTCAACTACATGCTGTTTATAAAAAATTCACTTGAACTCTAACACCACAGGCAGGCCGAGAGTAGCAGGGTCGGAGAAGACGCGTCATTAAGTAAAAGAAAGTAGCACTGGTTACGGCAATAGCGACGAGTTAGTCTCCAGAGCAAACGAAACTACCAGGACAGAGGAGAGATGCAGTGATACAGGGGCCAACCCACTTTTACAATGTGTGCCCCGAGCAGCAGAGCTGCAGGTGAGGGAGGCGTGAACAGAGAGAACGGAAAGGAAAAGGGGACAAGCCCACAGTCATACGTGGGGACTTCAGCACTGCCGTAACGACTGAACGAGAAGGAGACAATGCCCAAAACTGAAGAGAAGGTCAGCGGGGCCGTCAGTGTCTGCAGAACAGTGTGTCCAGGTAGAGCGGCACGCCCCTCGCCCCGGTCACAGCCCACGGACCGTGGGCAAGGCGGACCACACCCCCAGCCAGAAAACAGACGCAGCAAAATGGAAAGAACCAAAGTCATTCAGAGGACTCGATCCAATCACAGTGGAGTCAAACCAGACTTTAATGGCACAAATACAACAAGAAAACCCTCAGTCAGAAACAAGCAACACACTTCTGAGCAATCTAGGGGTGAAATCCAGGGGATAAAACACATTAAACTGAGTGACAATGAAAATTCAGCAGCTCAGCCTGGCCAGGGGGCTCAGTGGGCTGGAGTGTTGTCCCGTGCACCGAAGGGTCGCAGTTTTGGCTCCCGGTCAGGGCACAAGCCTGGGTTGCAGGTGTGGTCCACAGCCAGTGCGCATACGAGAGGCAGCCAACTGCCGTTTTCCTCTAACATCCATGTTTTCCCCTCCCTTTCTCCCTCTCTTCCCCTCTCCCTAAAATCAATAAGCATGTCCTCAGGTGAAAATTAAAGAGAGAGAGAGAGGAGAGAGGAAAAAAGAGAAAACGCAAGAGATCTGAATTTGCTGGAACAGTTAAAGCTGCTGTGAGTGAAATTTTACTACCAAATGCTTAGGGCAGGAAACGTCTCAAATCAATCATCTAATTCCTGCATGAAT